TAAGTTCAATACTTTTAAGATTAAAATAATAAACATAATTTATTAAAATTAATGACAACACTCAATTCTATAATATCAGTGCTAAAATAGATTTTAAATTTCAAAAGGGTGTAAATTTTTTGTTCAAAATGTTAACAAATGAAATATCATGCTTGTTAATAAATATGAGCTTCCAGGGAATATTTGGAAACCAGACATCCCCATTCCCTGTTCACACAGGCAAAACACAGTACCTCACGCACATACTGATAGCTCACTACAGATCTTCAGTATGTGATGTTCAAAATATTTTAAGTCACAGCCCAGTTTATTGATAGTGGCTCCATTCATAATTACACATATATTGTGACACACTCATCAACAATCTTGTCATGCCTCCATGAAAACACACAAATCTAACACTGTAAAAGTAAATAACACAAGATTCTGGGACTTTTGGATTTCAGCTTATATTAGGAACTGTGGAGTTGAGACATTTCGATTGAGGAGATATGTAAAGCATACAATACTCTTCCAATAACAACTACGAACCTGGGTTATTTGTATGGTGTGATGCATACAAATTGCCAGAGTGAGTGAGTTTAGTTTTATGCCGCTTTTAGCAATATTCCAACCATATGATGGAGGGGACACAAGAAATGGGCTTCACACATTGTACCCATGTGGGGAATTGAACCCGGTCTTCACCGTGACTTCACCGTGACGAGCGAACGCTTAAATCACTTGGCTACCCCAACCCCCTCAAATTGCCAGATATTTTCACGGTATTTTCACAGATAATCACAAATCCAAATATTTAACATAACTACTGTTAATTATAAATGAAAACCAGTCCATAATTTTGGGTCAAACTGAGGTCCAAAATTAGGAGAATCATTCGAAGACATGAGATGAATACTGTTATATAGGGGGGCGGTGGGGTAGCCTAGTGGTTAAAGCGTTCGCTCGTCACGCCGAAGGACCGGGTTCGATTCCCCACATGGGTACAATGTGTGAAGCCCATTTCTGGTGTCCCCCGCCGTGATATTGCTGGAATATTGCTAAAAGCGGCGTTAAACCCAACTCACTCACTCACTCACTGTTATATAGGCGGTGAAACATCTGTAAAATCATCCTCACCAGAAACAGAATCAGTATGACAGGACATTGCTTGATCTTTGATAGTTGAATACATGCAATAAGACCTGAACTAAACAGAAAATAACAATGGTACTTGCTACATCAAAGAGCTGAATGATTCACACCTCGTGCTGATATACCGTAATACAAGTCTTGATATACATACGTAATTGACAACTACACAAACAGTACATAACACATAGGATATAACATGAAATATCTTGTTTGTTTCACAGTGATGCAGAGTAGGAGATATTTTGATGATTGGCTTTGAGGAGACACAACTAAAATTATATTCTTTCCCTGTCTCTACAGAAACGTGATATTTCCCAAGACATACTGAATATCCTATACATATTCTCCTGTGGTAATCTAGACCATACAAATACTTTAACATAAACTGCTCAAAAGAAGTTGAGGTCCACCTGACTTTCATATTTCTACAGTTAACCAGTCACGACACGATCGTCATCCCTAATATATTGTACAAACGTAGTATAAGACGCATTGCTACAGTGCTGAGGTATGACATTGTACAGATTATGCAACCATCTGCCTGTTATCGTGAACACAGATATTCATGATGAGATATATACAGATATTTCAGTTAGAAGGGTCGGGTATTATAGGACGTATTTACCTGTGGCGTGAATCGCGACATACCTGTCTCTGTGTGCATTTGTCTAGTCACGGATTATTCCACTAGAACAACTAGAAACAATATATACTTAAGGAACAAGACTAGATGTTATTTTTGTTAAAACTGTGAAATTAAAACTTTACAAGGTGTTGGACCCACTGTGAGATTGCTGTCTACAAATGAGCAAAGGGGGGACAACTCTCACATGAGTACTGGACTGATGTATACAAGAAACCATCTATTGGTATGTCTATATGACATCGTTCACATGCAAGTGGTATCAATAATAACAAGGTACAAGAGGACACTGTTACAAAGACAATGAGAAGTTAACAGTTTTCCTACTGGACATGTATGTTATTATAAATGTCTGCCATTGATACGCGTCAAGGAAGGATTTGAATCTTAGGAATCAGACATTTTTCATTGTCGGATGAGTGTTTAAGGAGAAACTTGAAAATACAACATATTTGAAAATTTGAATTATTCATATTCTTGAACATTTGTAAATTTAAAAAGTTGTATTTTCAAAACATAATTTCCTGTTGTTTGTACATGCCATTGATGGACGGATGACGGCAAGTTAAAAATGGACAAACATTTGCTTCTGGTCAACCCCAAGACAGCACATGCCAACATAGGCAATCTCAGGGACAGACCTTAAACCTACACACCCCACAATAAATGTTTAGTCCCTAAGGTAGCTATAATACAGAAGTAACATGACATCCCTGTAAATCTTGTAAGTTATCAACATTGGTGTTATATGCTTGCTAACATCAACACATGGGTTATAGAAATGTGAAAACAATACATTTGCTAGCAGTGTAAAAAAAAACACTTTTGTCATACCTGTTAAAACAAAACATGTTGTTATCTGTATGAAAACAATAAAGTTGCCATCTATGTGAGAACCAAATGGAAGTTGTTATCGCACCCACCCCTGAAATTTGTCTTTGAGAAAACAGTAAACAAGCTGTGAAGACAGTAAAGTTGTTATCCATAACAGAGCTGTCTTCATTCAAGTTAGAGCATTAGAGATTGCAAGTTTGAAATTTAATTCTGAAAAAGATTTTCTTCTTAAACTAAACCATCAGTTTGTTGACAAGTTTTTCTGTTTAAAATTATATTTTGTTTTACATAAAAGAGCCATCACACCAGACAAAAGGAAATTTGAAAATTCATTAATGTGTTCTGTCATTACAGAGACGATAAACTGTTATCTTATGTAAGTGGTATACATGACAATATAATGCAGACAACAATTTCATATAACGAATCAAGTAAACGTCATATTATCGTGTCATGTACAAAGGTCATGTGACAGTGTCATGTAACAATGCATGTGACAGTGTCATGTAACAATGCATGTGACAGTGTCGTGTAACAATGCATGTAACAGTGTCATGTAACAATGCATGAGACAGTGTCATGTAACAATGCATGTGACAGTGTCGTGTAACAGTGTCATGTAACAATGCATGAGACAGTGTCATGTAACAATGCATGTGACAGTGTCATGTAACAATGCATGTGACAGTGTCATGTAACAATGCATGTGACAGTGTCATGTAACAATGCATGTGACAGTGTCATGTAACAATGCATGTGACAGTGACATGTAACAATGCATGTGACAGTGTCATGTAACAATGCATGTGACAGTGTCATGTAACAGTGACATGTAACAATGCATGTGACAGTGTCATGTAACAATGCATGTGACAGTGTCATGTAACAATGCATGTGACAATGTCATGTAACAATGCATGTGACAGTGTCATGTAACAATGCATGTGACAGTGTCATGTAATGCTGATGTTACTAAAAAATATCATTACCAACATGTAAACAATGTATGTGTTGTAATAAAATACCTGCTATACCATCATGGACATATTGCGTAATAATGTTAGCTAAAATATATCACTATCACTATATATACTATTTCAGAACTTTTTTCCAATTTCTTGTCTCTAAAACGTTAAACTTTTAATTTTTAACAACACTTAATATCAGCACCAAATATTCTAAACTCCTCGTTAACACATACACAACAACACATACAATCATTAACGTCAATTTCAACATACAAGCAAACAGTATATAGGTTACACAAAAATAGCTTCATCACAACCGTTGATATGTTTCATATTGGTATGAAAAACAATTAACTTCAACTATAACACACACTCACAATCATACACAAATTTAAAACAGTCAAGTTAAGCACTAAACATTATATAACAAGCAAACCACTTTTAACATTCATAAGTAAAATTGTTGGAATGCTAACAATATCACAGACAATTGAGAAGTGTTTGACAAGAATCCGTACTAACCAGTATTCAAATTAAGATGAAGGTTACCTAAAACCCAAAGCCTTAAGAGAAAATATGTACACCTAACTATAGCAATTTTGTTATTTGAAAACAACGTGTATACGTGTGTCCTTTCAACAATCTGTACAACTTTCTACATATTCACCATGGCAGAGGAACTATTTTGATGAACCTGTACACAAACAACTCAATAAATATGTCACTGCTATCTGTGATCGCATAACATCAATTTACAAAAAAAAAAAAGATAAATCTTTAGAGATTTAACAAAAATTTAAGTCAAATTATAACTGAGTCACAAATTCATATTTAGGTTTAATTTAAAATTCATATTCATTAATGGTCATATATACTACTCAAAAGAACTCAGGCTCTTTCACATTACTACAGTTTATTTCAAGACATGTAACCAAAGTATTATAAAGAATTAGGTGTTCTTTAAGCTTTCTGAGTAGTGTTCTTATTGCATGAGACAATGCTGGTGTACCCTACATCAAGATGGGAAAATGTGCACAATGTATATATTTGTAAAACCCAACTGTATAAATATACATACTATTCAGACATGTTGCAATATTTGTTGGACATAATTTCTACAATAATATTACATTCAAAACTATGAAAACCTGTGGTAAAAGATAATAAACACTTGGAGATTGTAAATGGAGAATATTTTGGCAATAGAATCACAATGCATGTTTTTATTCAGCTATATGAAGGTAAATTACGTATTGCCATAGTCTTCCAGGATCTTAAAACCCTTCTAGTGCCAAATCATATAAAGTGTGCTATTTCACATCACAGATTAATACTACAGTACGTAATATTCACCCTAGAATACCAAGTCAGACTGTACAGGGTAATTACAAAATATTTCTAAATATATTACACTTTTTATCATCAAAAACATTCGAAAAATATCAGAACAGTACTGGCCAATCACAGTCAGTTGCCAAAACTTAGGCCCACTAAAATTCCAACCAATGTGTCTTGTCACCTCCTTGCATAGGAAACTGCTTCTTAAAAGAACATTTTAGGGAATCTCAACCTGATTTCACAGAGACAATTCCTCTTTTAAACTTTGATTAGCATTGGTGGATGAAATTTTAGGCCGACAGTAACACGTGATCCTGAAATCTCATTCTATCCCTGATACGCATCTGTACAATGTGGTATTTTCTGACCCAACTTATCTGTCAGTTATTAGCAATTAATGAAACACATTCTAACAGACAGCTTCTATTTCTCCTGGTAGAGCTGAAATGTTTAATGTCCTCCAGCTTTGGTGTAAATGGAAAAAACAATTTTGTCATTACCTGTAAACTAATGATGCCTAAGCCAGCTTGAGATCAACATCCTGTACATAATGTATGCAAGCCAAAGGGAGCACACAAGGGAGACAACTGGACATAACATGTAACAATAGATCAACATTTCATAGTTCACTAAACATCAAACCTATGTGGACAATAGCCGCCATATAGCTGTAATATTGCTGAGTGCGGCATTAAACAACAAATAAATAAACAAAAATGTGGATTGTACAAATAGGTATTAATTCATGTGATTAATGCTCTTTATTGAATACTTTTGGTGGCATTTTTCTTTGCGCTCACATTGTGTCCACTGACAATATCTATGATATACTGAAAAATTAAAGTGTTGTTTTGTCATCAATTTAAAAAATACCAACAATAACCTTTATACAATTAGTGTAAAAAAAAAGAATAAAATCAATAACTTTTTCAATCTGTTTGATTGAATGGATATTTTTGTGTTAAGACATGGTGCCAGGAGCACGGAACACAATAATGTTATACCCAACATGGACCATCACAACGCTATGTATGGAGGCGCCCTTCACATCTAGGTGACAAGAGGTCACTACACAAAAATAATACATACAAACATCAACACAGACGCTATCACATCTTGGCATGCCTACAGAAGACGCTCAATATTAATGGAATATTGTTCTTTGGATTCAATTCATAATGCAAAATTACACTCTTGATAAGATCTAGCAAGTGTGGGTCTGACTATTTGTTCAAAAATATGCTGTTTGGCTAAAGGATGTAGTTGTTTCTACACACACAAAAACTGTGAAGGCTTACAAAAGTCTTATGGATGTATTTGTTTCTGCACACACAGAAACAGTGAAGGCTTACAAAAGTCTTATGGATGTATTTGTTTCTGAGGACAGTTCCCAGTGGATGTATTAGTTTCTGAGCTTCTTAGTTATACCCATTTTCCAGAGGAGTCTTTTGCTGTTTTCTCTTTAAGACATGGCGGAAGTCAACTTGAGAGGGCGATGATTCTACGACCTTTCTGAGAGTTCCATCCGCAACATCAAAGTTTGTTTTCCGTAGTTTGGCTCGCATGTCAGATAGTGAAATTTGCCTTGTCACAGATGGAGTACCATTTCCAATGTGGTTGTCACTTTTCGATTTAGGCACATTTCTATCTTCAGATCTGAAAAACAAAAAGCTAAGTATATAGTCTCATTTGTGTCTTAATCAGCTTTATCATTCAATCATTAACATTCTACATTACACATCACTTACATTGCTTTATCAAGTGTACTTATAAGCAAAATAGATACAATTTAACATGAACTATTTTTCACATGGTATGTTTTCCAAATATCAATGTCTCCAACATTCAAAATATTGAATGAAATATATATATGCATTTGCAATTTCATAAATATTTCTGATGACTCAAACCATTCCAAAATTGTTTTTCATAAATCATGACTTTATACCAAGGTTGTTAATCACACAACTGCAAGACATTCCCAGCCAGTTGAACACTTTGGCACAGTGTTTCAAACATTACATGCCACACACCAGACATAATGCTACTATCAGTTGAGTAAAACAATAATTAGCATGTGCATAAATCCCAATCAAAGCAAATATCGACATGGGGATTCTAGTTTTGAATAGATTGCCAGCAAATAAGCTCTACTGGTCATAAGAGGCAACCAATAGGATGGTCGACCTGTGAAGATCCGGGTTAGAATTGGTCTTCAGTAACCCATGCTTGTCGTAAGAGACAACTAATACGGTCGGGTGGTCAGGCTTGCTGGCTTGGTTGACACATGTCATTGTATCTCAATTGAGTAGATCGGTGTTCATGCTTTTGATCACTGGATTGTCTCGTCTAAACTCAATTATTTACAGACTGACGCCATATAGCTGGAATTCTGCTGAGTTTGGCGTTAAACAACATACCAACCAACCAATAAAATGGTCAGGCATAGTGATTTGGTTGACACCATGTGTTCCCTATTGGGATGGATCATTACAGTATCAATCGGATGGACATAATAATCACTGGATTGCCTGGTCCACACTTGATCATTTACAGACTGCAGTCACACAGCCTGAATATTGCTGAGTGCAGTGTTAAACAAACAAATGCAAACATTGAGAAATGCAATTTCAATAAAATGTGTTAGTAAATGGGAGGTGGGGTCTTGTAGGATTAGTCAAGTGGACAATTTATTATCAACATTGAAATTTACATTAAGAATCCTACAATTACAGTAAATATGTAGCTATGCACAGCTGACAATGTCAGAAACAACAATATTAACAAGTAATAACAGATTATTTAGACACATATATATGAGAAATATTATCTCACATGGAAATTATCAGTAAGACAAAACCTTAACACTGAACACTGCCAGATGTCATATTCGGAAGATGTCATTGCCTCAAAGGGATGTTGGATGGAAACGTGGAGATACTGTGATATTATGACAGTGAGGTAAAAGTAAATATGCATTGTGAGTGCAAACTTGTGCCTGAATATTCAAGATTACCTGGTAACCATGGTTACAGATGAGTTATCCAAACACTGATAGAGATAATTATATAGATCAGATTTTCTTCAAAATGGTTCATTGCATGCATTTTCAGAAAATATCAAGACATAAAGTCATCTAATCATACAAATGTAATATCGTTTTCAAACTGATTACAGGTTTACTCTTCTGCAGCTAATGGTTGTTGTAAGGGGCAACCAAATGAGTCACTGGCTCGCTGATCCTTATTGTCATATCCCATTTGTGTAGATCAAGGCTTAAAATATAGATTGTCTGGTCCAGATTAGATTATTTACAGATAAAAACAAACAAAACAGTATCTGTACTTCCTGACATTCCACACTGTTACTGTTAGACCACAACAAACTAGCTCCTTCTTCATCTGTGGTTATTTTCCAACTTCAGTGATATTATGTAACAGAATCTAATTATTTCAGCCAATTATTCTGTGACTACTTTTAAGGTTCATGTGGTGCATTATGAATTAGTATTTTCTTTATCATGAGAAACCTGGCACCTGTAGAAGTATCAAATGCAAGCATACATTTCTTTTCAGTCAAAGGTTTCAATGAACAAGGTATCAATTTTGTTGTGGCCTTTGGCATAAATTATTCACTCTTTACAACCTGATGGTTGTCCTGGATATATGCTTCCTAAAGTATTTCTTGGCCTAATTACCATAGTTTGGGCTACTTCATACTTGCCTTTGAGTTTTCACAAAGAACTTGTGTTATTTTCCTTGAATGTAATTGCATTACCTGATTAGATCAAGTCTGTTACAAACCTACAAATACTTTAAAATAATTATACCATTGATCTAGTCAATTAATCTTCTGCATATTTCTAAAAATAGTTGGATAATCTAGATGGCATTATGGAAGACATCTTTGCATTATGGAGCTTTTGTAAAATTTCACTGTCCCTACAAAAAAATGAAAGTTCCCTCAACTAATTCTTCCAAGTAAGTCAGCAACAAACACACCCACCTTTGCATGTCTCCATTTGTTCCATTCTCCAACAAGCGTACATGCCCCCCTCCATTCATCATGGGCATGGTCTGAGAGTGAGGCAGTGGAGGAGGTGGAGGGGGTGGAGGAGGAGCAGGGGCACCTGTGGGTGAGTCCATTGCCATGTCCAAGGGTGGAGGCGGGGGAGGCATATCTGGGTCATGACCATAGGAAACATTTAAAGTGTTCTCTTCCTCTTCTTCTTCGTACTGTCCATAGTCGACAGGTATTTGGGACTGCACCACTGTCTTCCTCCAGAAGCTGACCACACTGGCGGCCATTTCCTTCTCCAGCCTCTTGGCCATTTCATGAGGGTCATTATCCTCTTCGAAAAACGCCGACTTGTCAGTCATGAGGTCAGTCTCCACAAGTCCATTGGTAGGGTACTCGATCTCATCATCAGAACTGGGAATTAGAACATGTCCAATTAACATTTTGTCATGAAAATACTTTTGGATCCAAACAAATGACTGAATGTTAGTATGCTACATATATTAAAAGTGGCTAGCATTCATGCAAACTATTAGTGCATATAAATGTGCATATTGAGTTTCATCCACACCAGGTACCACATCTATTTCACGTTGTGATTTCTCACTTACAAGCTGAAGCTTTAAAAGATCTATTCAGTAGTTAGTTGCGGACAGCATCCCCATGCTGGGATCAAAGGTCAAAACCGTGTGTGTAATATACTCATCACCACTTCTGAGGGTTAATAATGTACAACTCAAAGGAACTTACAGAGCTCTTGATTGTTTTCATCTTCCTATAGTTAATATGTCATGTCATGGTGTATATATATGGGTATTTGTATAGCGCTATAGTGTATCAAACATACATGCTCAAAGCGCTTGTGGAAGTCACACACTCTTGTGCTGATATACTGTACGAAACAGTAAAAAAGTCTTAAAAGAGCAAATGTACTGGATTTACAAGCAGAATGTTCGTGATGGGTGGAATAAGGCAATCAAGTTCTTCAAATTATGTCGTGAAGCTGTTATTCTGAACAATAAAAATGTTTTTGCTAATTTCAGATATTTTATGAAGAAAGGTTTGCATGTGCATGGCAAGTGCATGAAGAGTAGAAATATTTTCAACTTCAGGCTGCAACTTAAGTACTCATATAGTCAGCATCTTTATGCTTGTGCTTGTGACTTTCTGCAAATGGCATCTCAATGGTGAGGTTTCAATGATGAGTTGGTCACATAAAGGGAATGCTGGTCAGCATCTTGTTCAACTACATGGGGGTTGTTGTATAGAATGCAGTTGCATCAAGATGTTCTGTGGTTTAACGAGCAATTGGATGCATGGTGTCTTCACTGATTTCAGATTCTTACAATTTTCACTAAACTTTTGCCAAAGGAATCTGTTTTGGTTGATGATCAAGGCTGGTTGTTCCTTGGTGTAGGCATCATAAATTTACATTTACAGTTGATCCAACAGTAGTGGGGATGAGTGTATCTCGGATGGTGACAATAGGCTCTAGGATTAACAGTTTTTCAATAGGCATCAAGTTCCAAAGCTGGCAGAATATCATTAGTATAGAGGGAATTTATCGTCAAGTTTCCTAATGTATTCACACATCACCATGGACTAATGTATTCACACATCACCATGGACTAATGTATTCACATGTAACCAAGCACAAAAATATTCACACGTGACTGGGGACTAATGTATTCACACATCACTATGGGCTAATGTATTCACACATCACCAAATACCAATGTATTCATACATCACTATGGGCTAATATTTTCACACATCAGCAAGGACTAATGTATTCACACATGACCAGAGACTAATATATTCACACATGACCAGGGACTAATATATTCACACGTGACTGGGGATTAATGTATTCACACATGACCAGGGACTAATATATTCACACATGACCAGGGACTAATATATTCACACATGACTGGGGACTAATGTATTCACACATCACTATGGGCTAATATTTTTATACATCAGCAAGGACTAATGTATTCACACATGACCAGGGATTAATGTATTCACACATGACCAGGGACTAATATATTCACACATGACAGGGGACTAATGTATTCACACATCACTATGGGCTCATGTATTCACACATCACCAAATACCAATGTATTCATACATCACTATGGGCTAATATTTTCACACATCAGCAAGGACAAATGTATTCACACATGACCAGGGATTAATGTATTCACACATGACCAGGGACTAATGTATTCACATGTGACCAAGAATAATGTATTCACACATCATCAAGGACATATCCATTCACACATCACCAAGAAGTTATCACCAAGGACAAATGTTTATACAAATCACCAAGGACTAATGTATTCACACATGACCAGGGACTAACATATTCACACATCACCTTGAACAATGTATTCACACATCACCAAGGACTAATGTATCCAAGCCCCTGTCAACGATCCCTACAGCCCACACAACACAGTGTCAGTACTAACTCAATCTCCTGTGACGCGAGTGCTTGTTCCTGTGCCAATCGTAATGGAGCGTCCCAGGCCAGGCTAGAGGAGCTGCTGTTTTTAGGTAAAGATGTGGTGGAGGTACCAGACTGGAGGTCGTTAGGCTTGCTACATGCCAGGACAGGAAGTAAGCCATCAGAGTTAACAAAATGTTAGTTAGGCAGATACCCATGGGTTGTAGACACTAATAGCTATTTTCTATCTAGCCGTTTCTATGTATACTTCAAGTGTGTTTGGTGCATAGCACTGTCACTGAAGATCATTCTAAATAGAAACACTGTTCATTAACAGTGAGTGAGTGAGTGAGTTTAGTTTTACACCGCTTTTAGCAATATTCCAGCAATATTCCAGCAATATCACGGTGCTCTCTTCACTAACAACACTTCAGGCATTTCTTAAGTATATCAAAAAAATTAAAAATGTAAAACAATTGAAATAAAAGCATGTTTTCAAAAAAGCATATTTTCAATAAAACTCAGCAGTAAAATTTTATAAACAAGGAGGTCCTACACATCTTAAAAACTAAAAATTACCAAAGCCTATCAAAATAAAGGTATCCAAGCAACATTTTCATTGCTTTTAATCAAATAGTTTTATCTATTCAGCATTGCTATGAACTGTTTTACCTTATTAAGCTTCTAACTATTTAGTTGGTAAGCAAGCATATAGCTGCAAAGAATTCAAAATGTTTCTCTACCAAACAACACATGAGAACCATCCTGTGTGAATTGCCATGTGTGTTGTGTTCAGATCATTCACATGTAACATATACTGTTTTGAAATAAACATCCATCAAATCTGGAATCGGCAACACAAAATATTTTAATCACAGATTACCCATGGAGTATACAGGTATGTACAGGTATGTACAGGTGTGTACAGGTGAGGTCTAACAGAATATAATTACAACAAAGGTTATCTAACAACGTATTACAACTGAAACTTGAAAACAACAACAAGAAGTAAATTTAACAAAAAAGGAAATAAATATTGACTACACATTAAATACCATGCTCCAAAGGCCAAACATGAAAACAGAATATGAAAACTGTTCCAAGATCAGGATCATTAATCAATACTTTGTTACTTTGAAAATGTACAGATCAAAATTATTTAAAGAAAAATATACAGTGGCACAATCTGAGCAGCTTTATCATGCTTAATAAGAAATTATATTTCTTTCCATTATAAAAAGATCTCAGCTCTAAGTCAAGCATATCTTTTTGCATATCTTTGCATATATTTGGACAGCACTAAATACCATAAAAAAACCAATGAACATCCATGACAGCAATAATAAGCAGTACACATGTTTAGCATAGAAAGGACAGATGAGAAAGATGCTGAACCTGAAGCCAATGATAAAAGCCCAGAGTATGTATGGTTACCCTTCCTTGAACTGAAGACAGTTATACCTGAGTATGTCACCTTAACGTTCTTACCAATTCCTGGAAACATTATTAAGTATTATTGAGATCTAAAATAGATACTGGAAGTTGATCATGTAAAATGCTGACCGAAACACCTGATTCATGCATGTGTTTATTTTAATTTTGTTTTCAGCAGGAAAATCTCATATTTATTTTTTCTTATGATGTTCATTTAGACCATTAGGTAAGCTAAAAGCAGGGCTCGGTTTAAGAGATGTTAACCTACTTGCACCAGGTGCAACCTAAGATAAAACCTAGTTGCACCAGTCTAAATTCAAGTTGCACTGCTTTTATTGCAATATGCAATGAAAGAAATATGCTATTGAATTATTTAGATGTTTTAGTCAGAAGTTTACCCACTCAAATTTGACTTGCACCTGGTTCAAGTTAGACTATTAACTAGGTTGCACTTTGTAATATTGGGTTGCACCAGTGCAAGTAACAAAGCACTAAATTGAGCCTTGTAAAAGTATTTAATGATACAAACATTTACCACTTTGGAGAAACCATGAACATTGGCATGGACACTGGTGCAGACAAACCCTGGATCATAATCTGAGATTTGAACACAGAACTGACATATCCTTATTCTACTAATGGTACAACCCCTGTGCCATGTGTGAACTTCTATTACAGTGATGATGTAATGTCCAACATTACACTAAGCAATGAATGTGTTGAAATACACAGTTAAACTAGATTAATAATGTTGATAAGTAAAGGCAATAACTCAGTGTCACTGCACAAAATAACCAGATGTTCATGCTATGCAAATCCAGCTAATATAGCTGACATGATTATTAGATCAAGTATCTCCAAAAGACATTCTTCACTCTGGTTAGAATCCATCAGTTATTTATCATGTAATTCATAACTGTATAATGTTTGGTATATTGTTGTCATGGCAACCAAATTGTACATATATTTATACTAGTATATCTAGCATTTATGCTTCAAAATGAAGAAATACATCTGTGAAGGAATTGGCAGTGCAGTTTACAGGGCAAAAAACACTTCCACTATTTCAGTGTGTCAGTTTGATTAACTCGACTTTGATCAATACTTCAAACCTAAAAGTATGCAACAATGTGACTGGTCACAGAATATGTTCTAACATTTTCAAAGTTTGGACATTTTCTATACTGTTTGTAGGAATACTTTTCTACCATAATCATTTCCTTTTCTTTCACTTTCAAATATGAAAACATTTTATTCACTATGGTAACTTTTGTAACAAGGTTGTTTGGTATCAAGTGTGTAACTTGTTTGACACCATTTTGAATCATATTTCAACTTCATCATGCAAGTCAGCTTGACAGAGGATAGCCCAAAGTGATGCATCTCTTCCACATTTACAACACTGGTGAACCTAACAAGTATATATGATGACTAGAAACATAATCATGTTAAACTGGCATTAATCCCACAACTATAAGATACTTTCATTCCAAGATCGTACAGTCTTATCAGACCATTGTAGATGAACCATCCTCACTGTCTACTAATTTGATTCTGACATTGAATTATTACAATGAATTGCATAAGTTACAGAGCATTGTTTGATAAAGGCTCATGTCAACAGCAAATCAAAGCATGCACATGCAGAAATGATGAATCATTAACAGCAACAGATTGTTACATGACCAGACAGTTACTAGGGACACATGGGGAGTTCTAGTGCTCTCATTGGGAAGTACATGATATAACAGACCACTGCTTCCTAAAACTTACATAATACTTACAGAACACACTTTTTCATGTTTAAAAATGCATTTACAACTAAAAAGGCTACATAAAGAATTATGATGAAAACATAAACTTCACACAATGAATGTCAACATCACTACTTCCAAGATTTGTAAACACTTTGTTCCTTCATCACTGGGGAATACATACTGCCACAATGTAGTATAATCACTAATATTGGCCAACCAAACTGGCCAAAGCCTGGCATCAGCATAGTCTACAACTGCAGTATTTTCTCTTCCGCCTAGCCCTCCCTGCAATGGTAAAACCCTAAATGACACATGTCTCGATTTCCTCAGAATCTCCCATGTCACTGGGGCTCCTTTTCAAATTAAAAGGAGTTAAAATTGTGTATAATCAGAGAATGTTTGAATGTGCTTTTTAACATGAACTGTGACCGTACTAATTCCACTTTGGGAACGTTTTATGACACTGGTTATGAAGACTTGGGTCCAAATATTAGCCTTTCAGCAGAAGATAAATCCCTCATTGCAGATACCCGCCCTAAACATTGTTTTAAGTAAATTCACGAGTAGAAGACACCCCTCTGATTGGTTAATGGCTTCAGTTCATTATGTCTCCATAAAAGACTTGAATCGTTTTAGTGGCAGTATGTATACATGGGTGATAGAATAACACAGCGTAAACATTATCATGAAGTACTGACATACATCAGTTCTTATGTTAACGTCACAAAGACGGTGTTCCTTGAGGTTACGTGCAATATGTATGGTATACGCTGGTCATGAGACAGATGCTGGAACCTGCAGGCAACACAGACAAAGGACAGGTAGAAATAACGAGTTACTTGGCCAGGAATGTCTGAGCAGCTGACTCAGCTAATTGTGCTCGAGTACTAAAGGCTGACAGGCTTGTGGGGTCTTGCACTGCTTCATTCCTACAATGTTACATGCCATTGTTGTGAACAATTTGTTCTCTTAAATAGATTCATTTTTCACAGAAATGATAAATTTTATAATTAAGTTAAACCCAAGTTAACACAATAAAGTCATCTCACTTCTATCACTTATATTACATATATCTCTAAATGCTAATGACTGTTTGCTGTCTGAGAATACAGTCCTGTTGAAAGCAAAATAATAATATACATTTCTATGTTACAGTTCCCCATTATTCTCTACTATCCATTGCAATAAATTTGTTTTAAGCCACATTCAGCAATATTGAAGATATATTACACTGGCCTGAAAATAACTGAATCTGGACCAGACAATCCAGTGATTGAAAGCATGAGCATCAATCAACTTTTGAGATGTGATGACATGCATCAAACTGGTCCACTCCTTTCATTAAGTCATCTCTTACAACAAGCATCTCACTGTCAATCCCATTGTAGTGTATGAAAATGTACACTTATGGTCTTTGTGGAGTTTATTGATATTGTACTGATTCTCCATAGAGTATTCCCATATTCAACCCCAGGATAGATTGACTGACTGACTGACTGAGTTTGGTTTTACGCTGCTTTTAGCAATATTCCAGCAACATCACGGCTGGGGACACCAGAAATGGGCTTCACACATTGTACCCATGTGGGGATTCGAACCCGGGTCTTCGGCGTGACAAGCCAACGCTTTAACCATTAGACTACCCCATCGCCCCCCAGGATAGATCGAAGAAGAGATAGACTCTAGGTGGTTAGTGTGCTTGTTACTTCACAGAACAAACAGATCAGAATTAATACTAAAAGAATACTAAATGTTTCATGACATATAAGGCCATGTAGAAATATTATTGAAAATGCAACAATTTCTCATATCTAACTCAGGTGTAAAACTTTTAAATCAAATTTGAATAAAAAACATATGACTTACTGAGATGTGTGTCCATTTGTCAATCCTTTTGATCTGGAAAAGACAATAAATAATTGAAGAGAAGGTACACTCATTCATTTCTTGAAACAAGATATATTTCAGAAGAGAATTTGCAGAGTGATTTTCGAGTATCTTGCTACACTGGACAATAAAAAGATGCGAGGTGGATGTTGACTTTGAAGAAGACATGGATGAAAATGTAGTAATGAATGTATCACTGCCTCATGTGATGGGCCACTCACTTGCTTTCTCGGACCATGGAGTCATAGTACTCGCTCTGCTCCTGTCCCATTACACTGGCACTCAGCCTGAAAACATGTTTCCATGCAATATTACAAGCATTCCGACTAGCATCCCAAAGGTACCATTCTATACTGAAAGAAACAAATAAACGAACACAGGGAAATTCAAGTGTTCCGTAAATATTTTTCCAGTTTTCATCACCAGCTTTGAATAGCACTGTGGGAGGAAATTTGAGAACAAATAAAAGGAACACTGCCATGAAGTGGTGTTCCCTTATTTGTTTCCCTAAGTATATATCCTAGGGGTGGTGGTCAGGAGTGTTCAGGGGGAATGTTTCGAAAAAATAATATTGAGCTCCAGAAAATAGAGGCATCAGAATGCCACACACTGAAGCATTGGGCCTACAGGGGGGTCTTCTTTGGGAAAAGACTTTGTTCAAAACATGCACTGTTTGCTCAGTAGTGAAGTTTCTGAAAATATATGATTTTGATAGAACGAAATAACTCCCTACAAACTGAAAAGGAGCCCCTGTAAGGTTGAAGCTGAGGACATCTAGACTTATTTCATTTAGAGCTTCAGCATGGCCGAAAGGGCTTGGATGTAGGTATGTTGGGAATGAAAATAATATGGTTCAGGGACTGACAGACAGGCTGTCATAAACTGTATGACCGTAGATGAGCCAACATCATAGATAGGCGAAGGTATTTGTTTAACTTGCCCCTCAAAATCTCAATAAAACTGTCATGCCCCGTACATAAGCCAAACTAGTCTAGAAGTATAGTATAGTACTCCTTCTGCAAACCTTTTAGTGCAATTCATATACTCCCCAGGGAGATGAGGATAAGATTTGAGTGCATACTGGTCCAATGACCCAGATAATATGTGTTGCACCATGAGTGAGTGAGTATGGTTTTACACTGCTTTTAGCAATATTCCAGCAATATCACAGTGGGGGTAAACAGAAATAGGTTTCACATATTGCACCAATGTGGGGATTCAAACCCCGGTCTTTGGCATGACGAGCGAACGCTTTAACCACGAGGTTAACCCACCACGCCTGTTGCACCATGAACCTTCACAAGGTGAATGTAATATGGATTGTTATACATGTATTTTGTTTCTTATTATGAAATGAAGAGTCCATTTAGAAGAGCTCACCGAAAAAATATTCATCACAAACCCAAACCCAAACATCCAAGGCACCGCCCCACAAATTGATTATAGCACTATGAGTGAGTGAGTGAGTTTTGGTTTTATGCCGCTTTTAGCAATATTCCAGCAATATCACGGCGGGGACACCAGAAATGGGCTTCACACATTGTACCCAAGTGGGGAATCGAATCCGGGTCTTCGGGGTGACGAGTGAACGCTTTAACCACTTGGCTCCCCCACCGCCCTTATAGGACTATGATGGCTGTAAGTCTATATTATGGTATGGAGTGGAGTAAGAACATTCATATAGGCAGGCAATTTGGTATTGAAAGAACCATGGGAATGGATCCAGTTTACCAAAGTACAAGCTCTGGAACTATCAAGGATGGACCCAAGATGACATATGAAATAGGTCTATAAATGCCATATCCAATATTCATGACTACATCACACACCATACACTAAAACTGAAATCGGAACCTATGCATCTAATCCCAAACAACAGACAGAATAGAACATTATTTAAGATTTCTTACTGTGCACATATGGCACGAAAACAGACACAAAAATCCAAATTATAGTTAAAACAATTTGGATTTGTTTTCTGAGGTATTTTACCAATGCTTTAAATGATACAATAAAAACTTCTGTGATTAACACATTTTGGTATTTTCAGATCCTGTTATCAGAGAAATTCAAGTCCGAAGGTTCCAGTTTGGGAAATTTTGTGACAATAACTTCAGAATTAGAAAATCGGTCTCTAAGAACTTTCTGAAATCATACAAGGCATGAAGAAACAGGCAGATGTATCAGTACAGTGTGCATGAGTTACCTACCCTGATGCCATGTGTGCTGTGGAGGTTTGTCCGGATGTCTTTGGTGTACTGGTGCCGATGAATGAACCATCTTCCCCAGTATCCTCATTAGCAATCTGATTGGTTGAAAAAATACATGGAAATGGGATATAATGGTCGGCATTTTCTGGACCTAATTCATGGAGCAGAATTCTTTTCTCCTTCAATCATTTCTTTTTCCTCCACTTTAACAAAATATGAGGAACATTTTATTCATCAACTTTTGTAACAAAGCAGTTTGGTTGGCATCTTATTTCATGTATGTCAGTTTGATGGGTAAAAGGTCTGAAGTGATACAGGTTCAGTTTGGTGAAACCTGCAAGAATGGGTGGTGCATGGAAACCAAGAAACCTATTCTGGGTAGAATCTGGGAATCACAGAATCGATTGAAAATGAGGTGAGGTGAGGTGAAAGGGGGTTTAACGTCACACTTACGATTATTTCGCTCATATGACGACGTGCATGCATGTGTATGTGTGGCTGCTTGTACTAGCCCAGACTTAAGTTGGTTTTATAGTGCTAGCCCACTGAGATACCATGCCGCAGTTAAGCATGAATACCCCACTCAGACACATTATACTGACTCCGAGCCGACCAGTCCTTGTTGTACCCATTAATGCCGAGCCAGGCTGGGACCAACAAGTACCATATTTTAACGTCTTTTGGTATGACGCGGCCAGGGATCAACCCTGACCTTCCACTCTCCAGGCGGATGCTCTAACCACTACACCACGGAGGCGGTTGAGTGAAAATGAAGCAAAAGGGTAACAAAGATGCTTAATCTTCAGTGAGTAGGTTACTGAACATGGAATTTGAACATGTATGACAATAAGTCTTGAGGCTCCTACTCACACTGTCATAGTACCCTGTCTCTTGTTCAGACATGATGCTCTTGTCTTGATGCAACTTCACCAGGTGTTCCGCTCTGGCCTCGTCAATGTCCATCTTGGCAACACGTTCCTGGAATGTCACCTGCTTGTCCTCAACCTTCACCTCTGCTGCCGATGTGTGATCGTGTGTCAAGACCACAACCTCCACGGGAACACCTCCCGTCTCTTGTTGTTATTTCTTTGCATACAGACAGTTGCATCTGCATTGTAGGCTTCAACCTGAGAATAGAGGAGGAAGTGACGTCAGATAGAATAATGTCACAGTATTTGCTGTATTCAGTTTTGGGTGAGTGAGTGACTGAATGAATGAGTGTTGTGTAACAATGCAGTCAGCAGTTTTACATGCAGTCTTAACATGACAATCACCCACTACTGATTTTCACACAAATTTCACGGTGATTAAAATACAGATTTTGTGTCATGTAGGAGCGTCACTTCTGTTTTGTAAAAGAATGTTTTTGGTCATGATGGAAAGAGTGAGTTAGTGCATGAGTTAGTTTCACGCCTCTTTTAGCAATATTCCAGCAATATCATGGTGGGGGACACCAGAAATGGGCTTCACACATTGTGCCAATGTGGGGCTTCGAACCCGGGTCTGTGGTATGACGACTAACACTCTAACCACTAGGCTACCCCACCGTCCCCTTCCAATGCATGTGACTGGAGATTACATTTCCATACACATACAGGTTGGGCTCGTGTTGTATAATTGGTCTGAATAATCAAATTGTCGTCTACGTAACAGATTTGTGAACGGCTGGAGAACGCACAGTTGTCAGACCATGTTGAGACACTGAACGCCAACATTTGGTGTCACAGTGTAATCAACACTACATCCAAAGAAATAAGAACGAATCAGATTCCATTTTCTCACAGCATGGATAGACCTATGACTGCCATATATTTCATGCTACAAGTGGACTCCCAAATTAAAAAACATTAAGGTTTATCATGGATCAGTACTTACATAGCCCTAATGGGATCAGGTGGTCAGACTTGCTCACTTGGTTGACACATGTCATCAGTTCCCATTTGCCTAGATCGATGTTCATAATGTTGATCACTGGATTGTCTGGTCGAGACTCGATTATTTACAGACTGCCGCCATATAGCTGGAATAATGCTGAGTGCGGCGTAAAACTAAACTCACTCACTCAATCAGCTACAGAACTAAAGCATGACCACAATAACCAAGTAGATTGGGACATGCGGTTTTAACATTTTGATCACAAAATGTAATACCATGGGTAAAGAAGTTGCAGCATCAACAATTAACAGGCCCAATACTTTGTGACCATATACAGGTGCATCCCTGTTCTTGAAGGTCAGGCCCATGAAGGTCTGGGTTAGAATATTGATCTTCAGTAACCCATGCTTGTCGTACGAGGCAACTAACGGGATCGGATGGTCAGGCTCGCTGACTTGGTTGACACATGTCATCGGTTCCCAATTGCGCAGATCGATGCTCATGCTGTTGATCACTGGATTGTCTGGTCCAGACTCGATTATTTACAGACTGCCGCCATATAGCTGGAATATATCTGAGTGTGGCATACAACTAAACTCACTCACTCACTCTTGAATGTCAGGGACTGGGTGTACATAACTCATCCTTAGTCCCTGCAGCAACTCTCTCACCTGTTGACCAAAGTAGATTAGTTCCAGTTCCTTTTTGTTCTTGTATTCCTGCAACTGTCCATAGAAAACCTTGGAGCGCCACATACGGAAGTATCTCTGAATGATCGTGGCTGCTCTCTCAGCTGAATACACTTGCCGGCGTTTCTCCCTCTCTACCAGCTTCTTTGTTTGTTTCTTTCGGAACACTGGAACACATTTCTTGCTTCACAACACAATCACTGAACATCTCATTACAGTTTAGATTTTATTGCGCGTTAGATCTTATATTTGAAGTCAAAACAGGTGACATGGTAAAAAGCAATAGCCATTGAGGCTTCTAAATTCTAAATATACCTTGTCTTTATACTGAAGTTAACAAGCTAGGCTCCGTTTCACAAAGCTCTCGAAGCGCTACGACTATATTAAGTCAATGTCACAGTATAGGAGGTACGAATGCAACGAGAAAAGTTACGAGATTTTAGGCTTACGAGAGCTTTGTGAAACGGGGCCCTGTTCCACAAGAAAAGGATAAAGGTCACACTTCAGACCGAGCAACCACAGTTTCAATCAAATGTCCTCAAATCATCATGGATTGAGGTACTTCATCATAATAAAAGATCTGATTGTAATAATACATGGGATATTCAAAACTCAAAAATGGGTGTATACTCATTTTGGTAATACTGCTTAAATACACAATGTCTTCAAATGATTTCAAATCTGATACAGTACTAAACGGTTACTTTGACATAAAACTACAAAAAGTGGAAATCACTGTTCACATGGTCATATTTATACCTGCTTGTATTTTCCTTGCTTGTTCGTCTTCTTTTCTTTTTTCTTCCTTGATCCGTTTTCGTGTAATGTAGCCTCTGTATGCAGCTTGTATGGTGACAGCCGAACAGTGCCGCTGCTTGATCACTGGCTGGTACACTTTCCTGGCATGTAACCCACGGGCCACTGACAACATATATCATAAAGTCAGTCAAATTATAACAGAACAAATGTCATTCAAACACCATGTTCCACCCAATCTTCATTCACACAGTCACTATCCAATCTTCATTCACACACTGTTGCCATCCAATCCTTTTCCACACATCATTGCCATCCAATCCTCATTCACAGTCGCCTTCCTTTTTCCTTTCACACACTGTCGTCATCCAATCCTCATTCACACACTGTCGTCATTCAATCCTCTTTCACACACTGTTGCCATCCAATCCTCATTCACACACTGTCATCATCCAATCCTCTTTCACACACTGTTGCCCTCCACACTTCATTCACACACTGTCGTCATCCAATCCTCTTTCACACACTGTTGTCATCCAATACTCATTCACACACTGTCGTCATCCAATACTCATTCACACATCATTGCCATCAAATCCTCATACACAATCGCCACCCTATCTCCTTTCACACAATGTCGACATCCAATCCTCTTTCACATGGTGGTCATCAAATCCTCATTCACATATTTTGGTCACCCAAAATGCTTTCATATTTTGAGGTAATTCAGTTCTCATTCACACGTTCCAGCCAAGCAAACTTCATTTAGATGCCAAGTTCTCCTTATCCTCAGTTCAGCTGCATCTTATGACACAAATCATGAGTACCTGGGACCTTTCTGTTCTGGAATTTCCTTGGAGGCAATACAATCATGTGTAAAAATGAATGCTCCTTTACAGACTAATGCCTGTGCGAGTTATCTTGCATGTACAACAATGGTTCCAGTTTGTGCCAATAAAGGACAGGACTGTAACTGTGTGGCAACTTGCACTGTTAGCTGCTGTTGTTTCATTCTTTCTACTTTCATTCCTACCTTGACAAGCAATGAATCGTCAAAGCAAACTTACATTTCTGTAGGACAACAGCTGCCCTGCGTCTCTGCTGTACAACTGTCTGGTACTCCTTCCGTACATGCCATCCTCGGGCAACTGCAATAAAGATGGATTACTATTGCAACTGAAGCAAATGTGGTACAAACATTCTCAAAGGGACAAGAGGTACTTGGGACCTTCTCTGCTCCAGAATTGTCAAAGAATAATCAGGCATGTGTGATTGGGACCTTCCCTGCTGCAGAATTGTCAAAGAATAATCAGGCATGTGTGATTGGGACCTTCCCTGCTCCAGAATTGTCAAAGAATAATCAGGCATGTGTGATTGGGACCTTCCCTGCTCCAGAATTGTCAAAGAATAATCAGGCATGTGTGATTGGGACCTTCTCTGCTCCAGAATTGTCACAGAGGAATTAGACATTGAGTGATTGGAATCTTCTCTGCTCCAGAATTGTCAAAGAGAAATCAGACATGAGGTGATTTGGACCTACACTGCAATTAAATTATCAAAGGGAAACAAGCATGGCGACTTTTGGATCACAAGTTAGTTGATAACCATTGTGAAAAATGAATCCTTACATTTCTGCATGATGAGCACTGCCTTGTCTCGCTGCCACTTCATTCGGTAGAAGCGGGTTCGACTGAGCCAGCGCCTCACACATGCCTGGACTAGAACCAACTTCTGGTAGAAGTTCTCGTACCTCCGAGCTAATTCCTCCACATGGTAGTACTTCAAGAAAACCTGCAAAATACAATCCAAGAGAAGGATAGTTCTTTTGGCTATCAAATATTTTCAAAATTACCAACAAATATTTTTATTGCATTATTTCACAAGACCTTCAATCCTTCAGCATTCTTGTGCCGCTCATATATGTGGACATATTGTTCATTACAGGAATATCACTCCACAAGAAAACATATTGATAACAAAATGAGAACATTGCCTATATCAAAATCAGAAACAGAGCATAAGAAATTGCTGGATTACAAAATCCATCCCGTAAACACAGGCCTTTATGCATTGGTTGAAAAAATATTTGATCACTGCTTGATAAATGTATGCCCTCTTTGAAGAAATTTCTGGTTAGACATCATTTTAGTCAGAAAATGATGAAGCTGAAGTTTCCCTATGAGAAACACATAACTTCTTTATAATATACAGGTGGGCACGAATGTTTGTTATAACCCAAGTGTAGACATTGTGGGAAGGGATGTTAACGTATGACTTTAATATATAGAGGATACTAAATGACCTTCCATGTAATACCATTTTTATTAAATGAATTAATGACTTGGTACTAAACGAGCGAAAGCTAAATCTTTCACGAGTTTAATAAAAATTGTATTTCACGGAAGCGAGTTTAATATTCTGTTTATTACTGTCCAACATAAATTGATAGAAATTGCCTACTAACAGTGTGATGACTTTCAGCTTCCCACGAGTCAAGCAAGGTCTAATACCATTGTGACAGAGGCATTAGTATCATGACGTCATAACTGTAAACCATTATGATGTCATATGTCTAGTGGCACTACACTGTAATATTGACGTAAAAATATTACACTGCAGTATCTTCCACGGGAGAGTAATAAACTTTCTTTCATGTTCTCTTTCAAAGGTTCTCCCATAATATATGCAGCAATATGACTACTTCTCTATAATGAAATCCTTGCATTTAATAATAATCAATCAATCAATATATACATTTGTATAGAGCTAATATCCATCCTTTGGAAGGTTGCTCAAAAGCTGTTGGGTGTGGTAGGCTGCGAGAATAAATGAGTCTTTAATTTTGATTTGAAAGTACTCAGTTGCTCTTCTGATCATAGAGATAGTGGTAGCTTTTTCCCTAAAGATGGACCACTAGATTGAAAAGACCTGTCTCTGAATGTCTTTGTCCGACCAACAACTGACTTTGACATATGTTGTGTTGATGATCTATGTAGGCAATAAAAGAAGGACAGCTGCCCACCTTTGTCCTGCCGATGGCCCACTGATGAAGTCCCAGCCTCTCCAGGAGGACAGTGCAGGTCTCAGCATTGATGGGGATCTTCTCATTCCACTGGAAACACAGCACATGGTACCTGGAACACACAATACACATACAGCACCTTCATCAAGCATGAGGGGGTGGTGGGGTAGCCCAGTGGTTAAAGCATTTGCTTGTCATGGCAAAGGCCTGGGTTCTATTCCCCACTTGGGTACAATGTGTGAAGCCCATTTCTGGTGTCCCCTGCCATGATATTGCTTGAATATTGCTAAAAGCAGCATAAAACCGTACTCACTGACTCATCAAGCATAAGAGTCACAAACCAGATGAAGATAAGCAATGCCAGTGATCATGAGAATCTGGATGGGTGGATGTTTTCGGGATCTTTCGGAAACATCGGGATGTTTTCGGGATCTTGACCGAAGATTTACAATAAATTTTGATCTTCTTGACATTGCTAGAGCAAGAGCAGTTGATTCTTGAACAGACATAACTCTTCTTTTACACCCAGTCACTGTTATGTGTTCATTTGTTGCTTGTTTGTTGTCAACAGCTGCATTCAGTAATATTTTGGACAAGGCGATGTAGAGATTGATATCATGAGCATCAATCCACTCATCTGTGGTACAATTACCACAGACACCAAATCTTGGATTCTGGGGATCAACACACTCTTACTCAGAATCCTTATGGGGAAGTCATTATTAGAAGCATCTTTAACTAAGAAAAAAATCAATAAACACAATAACTTACACCTCATGCTTAATAAAGAACAGACCATACCAAAATCCAAATCTCAACATATCCATGGATCAGACTCAAGAAGCCATTCAAACCTACCTCTTGAGGAACTCACTGAACTGTATCCTGTGAGAATAACCCTGCCTCCTGATGCGAGTAGTCTCCAGGACGCCAGTATACTTCAGCTGAATCATCACCTTCTCAGACTCAAAGTGTTCTGGATCCTTTTTGTCGTTCGGCTTGATACATCTGTTGAAGTGAACAAAATGTTATCTATTTTCTTCAAATAACTTTTTGAGCATGTTAGACGTTAAGTTATTTTTTTCTTGTTTTACAGATGACCTTGCCCTTAAGTTTGAATCAATAACTTTTTTCCCTACCACTTCAAATGCATGCCTAGAAAACCCCAAAACAAAAATAAAAAGTGAGCTGGTTCACTCTACATCATCCTCGATAATCTCCAGGGTATACATTACCATCACTCTCCACTATACCCTGGATGCATCCACGCTTGGGGCTTATGATTTTATTACCTCCCTTGGCTCTACTCACAGACAATGACTGAGTTACAACCGAGCTTGCCAGTTCAACAAAGATTTTAGCAATATTCGCAGCAACACTCAGATTTTGGGGAAATAATAAAGACAAATTCACAGATCTGAAACTTTTCAACATATGAAAGAACTGCCTACTTCTTTTCAGATACCTCTGCAACAATTGTGTCAAGTTTAAACAGTTAGATCATTTAAGAAAGAAAGAGTGAGTGATTGGTATGCTCAACTTCCCAGCGTAGGCACCATTAGGATAAAACCCCGGCCCTGGTTCACACTACACTATGGGTATAGGACAGAGAAATAATGACTCTACATATGAAAGGTTCATGAGGGAATAAGGTTCATGACTGACAAATTGACAACAGGTTACATTGTGGAAGCTTCAGTCTCAACAGCATACAACCATGGGTCAGGACATTTGATATACTCTAATGATGCTTCCTTCATCTTGGTGTTTTGGCAACACACACTAATTAACATAAAAAACAACTGCTCTGACCCTAGTTTATAATATGATTCCATTCTCCATAGAGACCTTTCCATCGTTGTACATTTGTTTTGGGGCAGCAGGAGTTTCATAAAAGACAAATGACAGAAAATGCTTGGCTACCTGACAAAATGTGGAGAGCCAGCCACCATCTTGGCCAGGAGGTCCATGAGGGAGAAGCGAAAATATGTGGACACTGTCTGCTGGATCCGGGTCATGCTGGTAGATCCAGATGCATTCTGGAACGAACATCACATACCTGTTATATACAAGTCTCATATCTATCTATGCCCATCACACACCTATCATATATTGGAAACACAACACGCCTTAGTGTGAAGCCCTATTAACATTGTTAACCGTCACTGTTCGAAGCATCCATGAAAATACAAATAGACTTTACTCTGTGTGAGAGCAAGTGAGTTGGGTTTACGCAACTTTTAACAGTTTTCATGTTACATCACAGCGTGTGAGCTTATCGTAGGAGAAAAGTTTGAACTCTTGCAGGTCTCAGATATTCATCCCATCGATGAAACCCTGAAAATGGTTATGATGTTGACAAAGCTAGAAACATAATCTGTTCTAACCAGGATTATAACCTTGAATCACAAGTTTCTGGTGTGACCAAGGGAGACAACTCTTAACAGCAAATATCAGTGCCTCAGCTGAGTAATCCACCCATGCCCTTAAATTACTCTGTTCTCCAAAGAGTGAGTATGTTGGAATGATTCCTGAATACTTTCAACAACATTTCAGCAATACCACTACAGGAGACAGTTGGCTTCACATAATGCTCGGACATTTTAACCACTAGTTATGCCACCGTCACCTGTACTCCAGAATGAAGACAATTTTACAAAAAATGTCATTCTGATTAACCAGGTTTCATTGTAATAGTAAAACTTACACTACGTTTGCTACAATGAAAATACATAGATACACGGACAAACAAGTCCTTTACTTAATCAAACTTCACAGATAATACAAACAAAACTGTACTTGAGATCCTAGATCTCACTACCATTCCATAAAGATGTGAGGAGACCCCATTACAGGTCACATAAGCATGCCCGTCACCTGACCAAGTTGCCAGTTTGAAACTAGATGTCAAAAACTCAAGAAAACATCTTTCGGATTGACTAAAGCTGACTTCTTGTAAGTCAATTCATTGGTCACTCAGAATTCAAGAAAGATTATTCTGACTTGACCCGTCATGGGATATCGTCAGTTCTTTGTGCAGAGGAACTGAGCACTAAGATCTCATTTAATTAAATGCTTGAAGATTAAAGACCTATTAGAATCAAAACATAAATCACATTCTTCTTAATGCTGTGATTTCCATATTGCATAATATTCATTCGTTCTTTTTTACATCTCATACAAAGATATCAAAACTACTAAAGTTATTTCAGAATGTTTAAACTAATTCACACATCAGCTGTGTAATTGATTAACTTTAAACATTTTTAATCTATTTTGGCTGATAATAGGTGTCTTGTAGTGCCTACTGTGAATTGTGCAACCCATCGTCTACTTTCATTAATACACAAGCCTGCTAACTCTAACCTCAACACAATATTTACACTATCAATGTGAGCAAAGCACTAAAATAATGTTCACATCACACAAATAAAATTCATTTACTAAGCACTTTAATAGAAAAATAAGTCAATTTCAGCACACTGTCTGACTGAATGTTTATTAGTGACCGTAAATGTTTGATATTTCTCTTAGCTTGTATTTTTTTTTTATCTGAAACGATACTAAAAAATATCTTTTCTTAAAACAACTGTTTGGTATCGTCTATTATTGCATCATCATCATAATCATCATCAAATACATAAAGAAAATGTTAATGGAAGCGGAATGATATGAAAAGTGAATAAAATGTGAGATGATGTTTCATGATAGCTCAGATACTTCTTTCAAAATTAAGAATTTACTGCTCTCTGACATAGGTCATATATCACTTTGAAAAGAATGATTGTACTGCTCTCTAAGATATGCCACATACTACTCTCAGGACAATACAACTTTTTCTCTGTAAGATTAGTCAGATTTTACTTTCAATAAAATGATTATACTGTATTTAAGAGAGGTCATATGCTAATCTCTGTATAATGAATTTACTGCTCTCTGAGATAGGTCAAATAGTTCTCTCAAAATAACATAATTAGTGCTCTCAATTATTGATAAGAACAATCTGATTGTTCCCTAAAAACATTAAACACATACTAACCAAACTATAGGATACTGGATTATAGAACAATACTAAATCAGTAATAATTCCAGAACTGAAACTGAATGTAAATAACATCTTGCTGGTAAAAAATCTAAAGTAACTCTAAATGAACAAAAGTGAAAAACCAAAACCTTTTTCTTCCTATACTATCAGTAGCTTAGTGGTTGAGTTTGGGTGATGTTTAAATTATAATAAAAACATGATAATGATGAATTAAGCATGGTGAATACAAGGGTAATTACACGTCGGAAAGTTCAAATGGGATACTGCAGGTAGGAGTTTAAGCCACACAGGATATAATGAAGAAATGTCCGTCTCTGAAATAAATGTTTCCTGATGTCTATAAAGAGGCTGAACTCTGTGATAGAAACAAAGCGCTATATGAAGACAGATCACGGCAAACACTGAGACTAACAATACTTACAAGAGCATTCAAATAAATCTGTAAGACAGTACAACACAAGTCTAACACAACACAAGTCAGTTACTACTTCTACATATGTCGGAAACACAAAACGAATCAAGTTGGAAGTTTTCATTCAGTTGATATAGGAGATAGAGATAGGATAGAGGTAGAAGGTGTGGGTGAGTGAGTGAGTTGGGTTTAACACTGCTTTAAACAGTATTTCAGTTATATCACAGCATGTGAGTGAGTGAGTTTAATTTTACGCAGCATGCAGCAATATTCCAGCTATATGGCGGTGGTCTGTAAATAATGGACTCTGGACCAGACAATCCAGTGATCAACAGCATGAGCATCGATCTGCGTAATTGGGAACCGGTGACATGTGTCAACCAAGTCTGCGAGCCTGACCACCCGATCCCGTTAGTCGCCTCTTACAACAAGCATGGGTTACTGAAGATCAATATTCTAACCCGGACCTTCACGAGTCTTTTAACTTAAGAGCATGTCAGCTTGATAAGGGAGTAGAATCTCTCGGACATTTGCCACCCTCATAATGTGGGAGATATGGGATTCAAACCCACAATCAGAGGTGTCTAGCACAGCAAACAGCAGCGCCTTAGACCATGGCACAAAAGTGTAGGATGCAGCCTGACAATAACATAGTATTGTCATGTGACTCAGAAGACTGTCATTATCAAAGCTGTTCACAAAATATTTTCTTACAAACAGTTATAGTCTGTTTGGGTTCAAATGAGAACGACAAATGATGAAATAACTTGACACTGGGATAAGTGCACAAAACATAAATAAGACACATAGTCCTGAAACCTCTGTACCCAACAGGATCTGAAATATGACGTTTTTATGACCGAGGCTGACAAGCTGGCTGTGCTGAGTTGCACCTGAATGTGTGCTGGTGCTGTTCCACCATCCGTTTGTCACCCCTCGGTGTGAAGCATGAAAACAGCACAATATTACATGATGGTTTCTTTAACAACTTTTTCCGCGATCGATCATAAAACATCAAATTTCAGATCCTGTTGGGTACAGAGGTTTCAGGACCATGTGTCTTATTTATGTTTTGTGCACTTATCCCAATTTCAAGTTATTTCATCATTTGTCATTCTTCATTTGAACCCAAACAGACTATAAACATTGTTTAATGTAAAGTCCTCAACACCATAAAAGGTACATTGAGTTAAATGTTTCTGTGTTATTTGATCATCCATTTGACAGCACTGTACTGGAATACAATGACTTGTAATCTGCCAAGTCCAATCCATTCATAAGAAAGATGTACACTTAAAAAACAGGTCTTTGAAGAAAACAACAGAGAAGAAACGGTGAACAACAAGAAATTATAAATTATCCCTCGTGTGTGAATGAATGGTTACTGCATCCACCCACAAAGGACAGATAATAGTCAGTTTGAGAAAGTTATTTTAGATAAGAATCATTGACATTTTCAGACTAAAAATGAAGCAATAAAGTATGAAATGTCTATACTAAAGTGCAGCTTATTTTATAACATCATGAACAATGGACGTCTAAACTGCATATGTGCGAATATAAAAAAATATTAACATGACCATTTTACTCTTTTACGAAATTATCTTATGAAATTTAATTCCATATCTGTCCATGGCAACACAATATTTTTAAGATGTCCTTTTGTCAATCCATAATTACTTCAACACCATGACAAAGACAATAATATAACCATAGAGTACACATACAAACAGAGATCCAATGCTATAAGTATACACACCCTGCTGCCACCAAATGCCGATCTGCTCTGAGGCTGGTAACTCTGTATCGTGAAGCCACTGTTGGTGCTCATGGGAGAGTTAAATGCACTGGACTTCTTACTGTTGAAGTTGGACTTGAGACTACCCGTAGCCAAGTTTCCTGTTGAAAATTGAGACTTTTTAGGAGAAGTTTCAGACATGTTGTAGTCTGTTGCTCAATATGAAAAGTAAACCTAGCTATATGAACCACTTTAATCAATACATACTTGGGCTGAGAGAGTCAACTGGAATATCTGGGATCAATATCCAGCAGATCCTGGCAGGCCTAAGGGATGCAACTATGTAGAGCAGACCACTTGACCACCATATTCCTTCCCTTCATAATGACAACTTCCAGTACTTACAGATAAATGAGTGAGTGAGTTGGGTTTTACACCACTCCTAGTAACTTTCCAGCAATAACACGATGGGGGACACCAGAAAAATGGTTCAGACATTGTACCCATGTGTGGAATCTAACCCAGGCTTTAGGCATGAGAAGCAAATATTTTATCCACTAGGCTACCACACTGCCCCTACTTGCAGAAGAAGAAATCACCTATTGTGTTGTACTACTAACAATGAGTGAGTTTAGTTTTACGCCACTTTTAGCAATATTCCAGCAATATCACAGCCGGAGACACCAGAAAAGGGCTTCACACATTGTACCCATGTGGGGAATCGAACCCGGGTCTTCAGTATGACAAGTGAACACTTTAACCACTCGGCCATCCCACCGCCCCTATTCACAAAGAGTTAAGTACCTGTTTTTGTGAGGGGTGTCTGGAAGAGAGCCTTGACAACAGGGTTGCTGGACTGACGCAGGATGTCAACAATCTCAACAGGAAGGCGATCTCTGTTCTTCTCCAGGAAGCCAGAAGCATCGTATGTCACCTAGTGGAAGAATATACATGTCTTCTATTGAACACAATATATCCTGATTACAGTCATCCAGTGAATGGATCTAACTATACAGGGTTTCTGACAACTAACCAGTCTCAGACAGGGCACCTTGTAATAATGCCATCTAGAATACATTCCATTATTTTCTAGACTCATGTTTTGCACCAACTGATTCATTAACTTTCATGTATGCAAACAGCATGCTTTGTGCTGTTTGCAGTACTGCTTTTCTTCCACATTGCTTACCTGTGGACACACAGCACCAACAGGAAGTCACATGACCAATATTGTAAACTTGTCACAGAGAAGCATACTCAACCACTAAAGTCATAGGTAGTGCTATCGCACAGCTTATACTGCATAGAAATTTGTAGCTGTCATTAGATGTAAAAATATATTTCATCTGCGCTTATGCTAAAAATCCTCATTGGATATTTACAAGCTCTCTTAACACTATTGTGTTTTCACAAAAATGCATGCATACTTGTATGCAATAAAACTTACAGCAATTGGGTTTTCAGCATTATTTGGCATAATTATGCAGATATGCAGCTAATTGTACAATAAGTGTAATATAAGTGGATAATACCTTGCCAGCATAATGCTCAATAGCAAACTTGAGATTGTCAGCCTTTGGTCTTGTGTAGTAGGGGGAGTTGATGTTCTGGTGGAACTTTTCTACAAAGACAACAAGATTACACATAACATGATATTCAAGAGACATACTGAGAAAGGTGTTCATTAAAAACTAGCTGTAGAGTCTGGCATTACCTCATCCAAGGGTGTCCTTTACGAACAAGAGTCCCTCCAAAACCTCTCCCTAAGGTGTTCTGGTCCTTACCAAATACAGTCTGGCAATACCATGCCTGAAGATGATCCTTACCAACCCGAGTCTGGCATTACCTCATCCAAGGGTGTCCTTTACAAACAAGAGTCCCTCCAAAACCTCTCCCTAAGGTGTTCTGGTCCTTACCAAATACAGTCTGGCAATACCATGCCTGAAGATGATCCTTACCAACCCGAGTCTGGCATTACCTCATCCAAGGGTGTCCTTTACAAACAAGAGTCCCTCAAAACCTCTCCCTAAGGTGTTCTGGTCCTTACCAAATACAGTCTGGCAATACCATGCCTGAAGATGATCCTTACCAACCGGAGTCTGGCAATACCTCATCCTAAGGTGTTCCTGACCAATCAGTCTGGCACTACCTCACATAAAGTTGATCCTTACCCACGAGAGTCTGGTCGGAGGACTTGGGGAAGTTGCTCTCTTCATCCAGCAGACACAGGACACCCATGGGCTTCATCAGGAACATGTCCAGGATGGGCCTGTTGTCCACATAGCTCACATCCTTGGCATCAATCCCTTCATTATGATACTCTTGCTGCAACATCCACAGGTCACTTGTCAACATAGTCATCATTGTCACTATGCTTACTATGTTACTTTGCAGGAGGATACAGTCAAATGTAACATAAATCAAATCTAATCAGACACAAGATAAAATCTTTAAAAAGTTTTATGGAATTGTTTTTGGTAGACTGCTGCCAGCAATATTCCAGCTATCAAGGTGGCCTGGGCCCCGTTTCACAAAGCGATCGTAGCGCTACGACAGTCGTAAGTCTATGTTAAAGTATAGGAGTTACGATCATCTTAGAGCAACGATCGCTTTGAGGAACGGGGCCCTGTATATATCAATCTACATGTTGTGATGACCTTTCTACCAATGCAATTATTATTTTGCCAAGTGTTACAGCTATTGCACCTACCATCTCCCAGACAAAGATGTTCTGGTTGAAGTAATACTGTATTTGTTCATTGGCAATGTTGATACAAAGCTGCTCAAAGGAGTTGTGTGTGAAGTTTTCAAACCCGAAGATGTCCAGAAGCCCAATCACCAAGGTATCTTCACTGAAGGAGTTAAAAAGGATTTTTTAAAAGCATATTTAAATGAAAGAAAACTACAAGGCTCTGTAGCTCACCAGTACGTCCTGAAGCTCCATCATCATTTACATCACAGATCAAAACATTTGAATAGTGTTCACACAGTTTATATCCTATGGAGCAAATTGTCAATGACTGAAGTCATATATAGTACTTACTGGTACATAAACTAAAGATATATATATATCAGTTACATTTGGGATAACCATCCTATTTGATGATCAATTCAAATGACACAGTTGTTATGATCACACACATAAGTTCTGCTTCATCAGGTTGGTTGTATTTGAGATGTCATAAATTCTGAATTGTATTACAGGTCAATATTAAGGTCAAAATTTAAAAGCATGTACAAAATGAGAAACATATATTTCCAAGAAACAGATCTAGATACTATGTACTGAATTACAAATGCCTGAACGATTATTACATCATTCCATCATTCCTGCCATGACAACCATGGTCCAAGCATTATAATAAAAGTAATGGCACATTTGCTGAAATTGTATGCACAAAATGCCTGCTTCATTACTACAATAAAGCAAATATATGTACATTCCTGGGTTTTTTAAGGTTGTGAACAGGGTAAAACAATGAACTCACTCCGATCTCTCTGTTTTGGTTGGTCGGAGGAGTGCACTTATCCTGTTGACAATCCAACTGAAGAGGCGGCCATACAGGGCCTTGGCCATGGCATCCCTGGCATTGAAGGCTTCACGCAAGCTGTTGTTGCGAATGATGAGCTCCCCCTTGGCTACCATTGCTGTGGAAGTGAGAGCTTCTTGTATGTCCTCCGAGTTTACTCCAAGAAGCGAGGACACTGGAAGCAAGAAGCTTGATGAATGGACTATAGCAGTAAATATGTCTACTGCAAGAAGGGTAGAATATTAGAAACAAACAACTTGATGAACAAAATAGAGTACATACAATCATACAAGGAAGGAAGTGGTATCCTGCAACAGAATTAGAAGTGAAGTGAAGTGAAATTGGGTTTAACGTCGTGCTTGAATAGAATATTTCCATGACGACAGGCTCATCTAGTGACTGATGACATGAGGTACTAGCCCAGACTTAAGTTTGCATATATGCATGTGTATGTATGTGTAGTGCGGCTGCTTGTACTAGCCCAGACTTAAGCTGGTTTTATAGTGCTAGCCCACTGAGATACCATGCCGCAGTGAAGCATGAATACCCCACTCAGACACATTATACTGACTCCGAGCCGACCAGTCCTTGTTGTACCCATTAATGCCGAGCGCCAGGCAGGGACCAACAAGTACCATATTTTAACGTCTTTTGGTATGACGCGGCCGGGGATCGAACCCGCGACCTTCCGCTCTCCGGGCGGACGCTCTAACCACTACACCACGGAGGCGGTCAACACAGAATTAGAAGACTACAGTAGTTAATATGTAGTTGAAACTTGCTTTTTAATTTTAAATGTTTAGTTGTGATTTTATGATGAGGTCTAAACGTCAGTCTTTTGCTAAAATACTTGTGGCATAATACGATGACCTACCTATGTCAAGCAGACTCCTGTCACTGATGACACAGCAGTCCCCGGTGTGGTCGGACAGCTCTTTCTCCTGGAACTCCATATTGCCGATGTGTAGGATGCCACAGAGTATGGCATACACTGACGACACCTCCTGTCAGGGATATACACATTATTATTAACATGGGACAGATATCATCAACACCACCATCATCATCATCACCACCATCATCATGAACCAACTGAAAAGTACTGTCAGTTCTGACATTTCCAAATTGTCCTTGAAACTATAAAATGCTTAGTTTCAATTTTTCATATTACCTAAACAACAAACATGTATAATATGGAACACGTTTTTATGGATAACAACTTCTATATTTCGTGAGTGCGACATCATCACCACCATCGATACAGATTCTTGTACCGTTGTCAAGCAAGACAACTTCATCATGAAATATAGAAGTTGTTATCCATCAAAACGTCCTTGAAACTCCAAAATGTACGTCTCAAGTATTCTAAAATGCTATTTTCTTTGTTCAAACAAGTTAAACAAACATGTAGTAGCAAGTGTTATAACCTAAAAAAGAGACAGGTGAGTGGGATATTATAAACTGTACCTCTTTCTGGAAACCAATCACATCAAAGCATGTCTGGATGGCCTTGAACTTGACCCGGTGTACTGACAATGAGGCTATGTCAGGAGGAGCACTTGTGTACTCCTGGAGGTACCTAAAACACACAACACACATGTATATTAAAGCAAATACAAAATCTTAACACTTTCTAATATTTTCTTCCAAAGATACTGAGGCACAGCTAAATGGCCCACAGATAAATTTATCAAAGTATAAAAGGAGAAATAGACAGTAAGAGTGAAAATCTAGCTTCGATAGGAGCTGCCCATGATAGAGACTTACTTGTAAACTTTGCTCTTCTTCAAGTGGAACTTGTCGTTGTCACTGGAGATAAGGCCATCATGGACGTAGTAGAAGATGTGGAAACTTTGCTCTCCTCTGGAGTACACACAAGCATCAACTTCAAACTCTACACCAATCACACACTGCTTGGAGATACAGTGGAAACCTGATAAGTAACATTTCAAGGGACTCGCCAAAATTGTTTACTTATCAGGTATTTAACTTATCCAAACTTATAAAACCTGCAAATGACAACCATATGCATGTATATGTATACTGCAGAATAACAGACAACATTTGTAAGTAATATGGCCTTCAGTTGTCAGTGTACGTCGTAATGTCACCTGCATGACGCCAGCAAGCTGTAAGTAGGATGTTTGTTTAACTGGAGACTGACACATGCCCCTCATGTCGGATTATGTGGGATCGCTAATTTAGTTATCCGTCTCTTTTGTTAAGTAATTCACTTCCAGGGACCGTGAGAAGAAGTTTAGTTAAGCGGTATTGTTTACTTATCCGAGTTTAGTTAACCGGACTCTAATAGTGATAATTAATGAAGAAATTTGCCGGGACCAAAGAATAGTGTTTACTTATCCTGTCTGTTTAGTTAAGCGGTCTTTACTTAGGCGGTTTCCACTGTATTGATGTTTTAAGATGCTTTACAAAACACATGCATTATCTAGCTTTAACACAGCCTGGAAATTATGTTTCTGGAAGATGTTTCATAGTTACTGACAGTAAAGAATGGGAATACATCACCCAAATGACCAAGAATACAATGAACATTAAGTTCTACAGGACCAGTATTCTTATTCAGTACCCCTATGTTCCAGGGAAGGTCATCTTGGTTGTAAGGTAATACTCACTTTGCTTGATGAATGACACGAGACTTCTCTAACAGGTATTCAGTGATTTTGGCTGAAATAAACAAACAAAGCATCAATACTGAAGTCGTGCTCTCCTCATTTTATGAAATAAGATCTCATAACCAAGTACAGCTGTTTAATCTGCCAGTGGGCAACTAATAGAAATCATTCGTCTGGTCTGGACATGAAAGTTTCATATGACATCATTTACTTGTGACATCATTATGGATCCTAATCACATTATGCATTCCCTTTGGAATCCACTTCCTAATCAGCCAATCTCTGACAAAGCTTCTAAGTTCTTCTTACAAGTATGATAAGTATTCCGGCAAGCACATCTGATTTCTCAGTCACAAAATTAAATTAATCACAATGTTCAAAGGACAAAATATAAATTCCCTGTATTTGTATAGTTTATGCATCCTGTCATTTCTAAACATCATGACATCAACACGAGAGATCTGATTTTAATTAGATTAGTTTTGTATGTGCACCCACCTCCCATGACAGTCCCGTGAGCTGTGAAGAACATCTCAAGGTACTTCCCGAACCGACTGGAGTTGTCGTTGATGACTGTTTTGGCATTACCGAAGGCTTCCATCAAAGGATTGACTTGCAGGATCCTCTCTTCTAACGTTCTATTGGGTGCCTAAGTGAGTAAATATAGATTGTAAGTAGACAGAGCAAAATATTCCACTTAATTGCATATTTTGTAAACGTGGAAATAAAAAACTACCAAATATGGAGACATTTGATGTCAATATATGCAGCCAAGTAAATATCAGGTCTTTTGAAATTGTCATCCATCTAAATACTTGGTCCACTATTAACAGGAACTAAGCCTGTGCCTATTTGCAGTCATAGCAAGTTTGATAGAGTCTTCAAAACTCAGATTATATTATTCAGACAAATCTAGCAATTATGAGTCTCATAATCACACAGAGTGTCAATTTCAAGGCATACAGATCTTGGCACCAGACCAAGCAAAATAGTTCTTCTTAAATAAAGGCAGGAAATGAATATATATTGAAATGACTTAACCACCATCTTACCTTGCCTAGCTGGGTGAGCTGCTGGACCAGGAGGTTGGCACTCTCTGTCTTGCCAGCACCAGACTCCCCGCTGATCACAATACACTGCAGAACACAGACATCATCGTCTTTACCACATCTTGGACAAGTACATATATGTTACTCTCATAAAAGGTGTTGCCAGTGCTACATTATATTCTGTAGAGGTGAGGTGAAATTGGGTTTAACGGCGGCTTGAGAATATTTGCTCATAGTACATGTGCATGCATGTGTATGTGTATGTGCGGCTGTTTGTACTAGCCCAAGACTTAAGCTGGTTTTATAGTGCTAGCCCACTGAGATACCATGCTGCAGTGAAGCATGAATACCCCACTCAGACACATTATACTGACTAGTCGACCAGGCCTTGTTGTACCCATTAATGCCAGCCAGGCAGGGACCAACAAGTACAATATTTTTCTTTTGGTATGACGGCCGGGGATTGAGTGAGCTCACCAGGCGGGCGCTCTTAATATTTAGTCTATATTCTCTAGAACTACACAGAGTCTTCAATGAGTGAGTGGGTAAATATTTAACGTCACATCAGCAATATCTCAGCCATATCATGACGAAAACAATTTATACAAGTAAAAGTGAAAACATTTGGAAGATTAAAACCTGTCGACGATGGACAGTAAAAATACTAGAGAATACTTCAATGAATGAGAGTGAGTGAGTTGTGTGTAATGCTACTTTGAACAGTTTTCCAGTCATATGATGGCATGATCAAACTGATGTGGGAGGGGAGCCCACACCTAGTAATATAATCGGGCAAATCTGTGACTGAAACCATGATCATGAAGTTCCTGGCAAACCAAGGGAGGCAACCCTGCACAGCGATAAGTGGTGAATTAGACAACGGACAGTCATGCAGAGATGCCAACCCTATTTGGGGCCTAAGTGTAATACTAGAGGTCAAAAAGTGTAATTTGGACCTAAAAAGTGTAATACTTGTCTGCCGATCGCTTCAACATGGTACACGTTTTCACGAAAGGAAGATTCTAGACCGAAACACATGTGACCAATCATTATGAATCTCCATACATCGAAAATTGTTGGTCATGTGACTCAACATACTTTAATTCCTTGCAAGTTAATTGGAATGAGTGCGATGCTAAGAGTAAGCGATTCCTATCGGTGCAAGGCCATTTCTGCACCCCTGCACCTGTGCGTTACGAAACACTTCCCTGTGAAAATTTATCCACTTAACTGATTTTCGAAAAACAAGTAGAAAAGCGTAATTTTCGCAGATTAAGTGTAATGGCGTAATTTAATGTTCAAAATCGTAATAATTACGCCTAAAGCGTAAGGGGTGGCATCTCTGAGTCATGCCATCCCATTGCCAGTGGATAAAACACTGCTGAACTCACCTGGTTGTGTTTATTATGCATCATCATCTGGAAGGACTGGTCGGCGACAGCGAAGATGTGGGGAGGCAAGCTGTCCTTCGGAGCATTCATGTACTTCTTAGAGTACTGCAACACAGGAACCATACAGCAACAATGTACAAGCAGATAAAGGTCACTATTATGATGATTATACAGAAAAAACGTTACCATAGTGAACTGTATACAGAGCAGATAAGGAGCCATACCCTTAAGAATCACACATGCAAACAAAATGGCTACCACTAGCAGACGCCTTAAGCACAGCTACCCACCTCATCAGAATATATCGTCATGAATGTGAAGGGGTTGACCGCCAACAAGATGTCCCCAATGTAGGTGTAGATGAGATTCTGGCTGTACCTGTTGAATAGCTGGGACACAATCACCTCCTGAAATATAATATACAAATATGAACAAACAACATTCAATACTAATATCTTGAATGAAAGCGAAACAGCAACAAAATGATTTCCACAAAACCAATCAGAAAGATCCAAATCTGCCAGAATGAAAGCCTCACTGATTGTATGCTGTTTTATGGCAATCAGCAATATTTTAGCTTTTAATCAATCTGCTCATACAACATATATGGGGTCCTTGAGACGTTTCAGACACAGGATCAATATGATTAGAAAACATGAACCAACTTTCTTTATCAATGTAAAAAAGAACAAACAATATACTTGTTATGAATATTGATATTTACATTCAATCCCCATCAATTCAACAAAAAGTTGATTGTTATTATTGTGAATATATCTCAATGCTTACATCATCCAGTGTTTCGAGAGATGCGAGATCATCTGCTGTCTGTACCCCATCCCGTCTAGACTTGCTCGCCGTGACTTCATACGGCCATGTTTGGTTGTAATGTCCGGTTCGTGGATGGTCCGCTCCATCTCTGATGTCAACTGTATCAGTTTCTCCTTGCACTGAAACATCAACCAACATCATCCATAGCTTCCAGTACCAGTTCCTGGCTTTCAAGACAGGAGGTATGCTTGGTAAAGCATTATCACAAAATCAGGATATACTGATCATTATTCTTTAATATAGAAGCTGAAACAATCAGCTGCTGTCACAGAGAGTAGAGAAAAGTAAGTAGAGAATTACTGTTGATCCTATTACAAATCAGACTCTCATAGTATGAATTATACATTACTCTTTCATGATATAAAACAATTGTATTATTCTCCTGCAGTTGGTAAATGTTGAGGTCACTCAGATAAAGCAGGGGCGGTGGGGTAGCCTAGTGGTTAAAGCGTTGGCTCGTCACGCCAAAGACCCAGGTTCGAATTTCCCACATGGGTACAATGAGTGAAGCCCATTTCTGGTGTCCCCCGCCGTGATATTGCTGGAATATTGCTAAAAGCGGCGTAAAACCAAAACTCAGTCAGATAAAGCACTAATCAATAAAGTACTTTCTAAAATATTTAAGAGTCTTTACACAATGGGTTGTTTGATCAAGATCACAACATTCTGGTCCTAAGCAAATCTTTCAAAAAGTTTTATGGTAGATATGTAGAGGATGTTCTTCAAATTTCAACAGTCACAACAATTATGATATGACTCCCTATTTCACTAATTTCACGCTTACTTTGTAGGTGAAGAATTGACTTGCCACTGCATGTGTTTATGACAGGTGCTTATACCTATACACTTACCTTTTCACAAACACCTGGCATCATCATTAATGATGGTGGTTCAGAAATGCATACTCAGACATAGTCAGAATCGTACAATTGATTCTCATTTTAACAGATTTCTTATTATTTAGGGATATTCTTAGGTTTGTCACTTTTATTTCCTTCAATTTCTTACTCTTAAACCATAACTCTGATGAACACCAACCTCAGTAGGGTCTTCTGGCAGGTCTTCTATGAATGGATGGTTCAGGAGACCTTCTGTGAATGGTCTTTCCTCAAAATCTTTAATCAGGCATCTGTAGAGTAAAACATACATAGAACTATGACAGTGTGTATGCGTCAGGGCTTGACACAGCTTTTCACATTATTCAATCCAGTTGGACAACCTGATGAGGGAGGAAAGCAAAAAATGACATGTAGTTAAAAATGTATACCAAGGATCACTATATATCATACACACAGGCGCACGACACGCACGCACGCACACACACACACGATCAACAATGGTCATTACAACAGCAGTTAACAGTACATACTGACCACCAATTATCATCATAAAAAAGATAGGTACCCAGTGATTAATCAAGGGTAATAATCACAGATTATCTGGAATTCACCCCCAGGACCAGTGGACCTGGCAAGAACAGGATACAAATTGCTAGCTGTGGCACCTTAGCAAGTCATTGAGCCTACCTTAATCAAATTCTGACATTTAAAACATATTAATGAGTGAGTTTAGTCTTACGCCGCTTTTAGCAATATTCCAGCAATATCACAGCGGGGGACACCAGAATGCTGGATGAGCTGACTGACTGTATGTTATTGTATCCCAAACACATATATTGGTACTCATGATGTCAGTCATTGCGTTGTTCATTCTAGACGCAATTATTTACAGACTGCTATCATATAAGTAGAATAGTAGTGAGTGAGGAATTAAACACACACTTGTTCCATGTGTCCCTCTTTATTTATAATGTGGGGCGGTGGGGTAGTCTAGTGGTTAAAGTGTTGGCTTGTCACGCCGAAGACCCGGGTTCGATTCCTCACATGGGTACAATGTGTGAAGCCCATTTCTGGTGTCCCCCGCCATGATATTGCTGGAATATTGCTAAAAGCGGCGTAAAACCAAACTCAGTCAGTCAGTCAGTCATTTATAATGTAAACACTATGTTATAACTACTTATAACAACGCACCTACAGACACATAAAACCCTGTTCAATCAATTTAACACAATACAATATTTTTCTGCCAATACTTAATCACAAGTAAAGGTAACTTAGTAATCTGCTGACATCAGTTCTATACCCAAATCAATACAAAAATACATTTCTATTTCAAGTCAAAAGCTTACTTTTTAACAAAATCTTTTAAGTTTTGTGACCAGAGATCAGGCTGCTTGAATGTAGGTGGCGGTGACCTGGAACAGACAAAGATGCAATATACAACGTATCTCACATCATATATGACAGACAGGGTGCAATAAACAAATTATCTCACGTCATTATGATAGGGTTAAATATATGAGGTGAGGTGAGGTGAGGTGAAATTGGGTTTTACATCGTGCTTGAGAATATTTCGCTCATATGACGATGTGCATGCGTGTGTATGTGTATGTGCGGCTGCTTGTACTAGCCCAGACTTAAGTTGGTTTATAGTGCTAGCCCACTGAGATACCATGCCGCAGTGAAGCATGAATACCCCACTCAGACAGATTATACTCACTCCAAGCCCACCAGTCCTTATTGTACCCATTAATGCCGAGAGCCAGACAGGGACCAACAAGTACCATATTTTAACGTCTTTTGGTATGACGCGTGTTGCATAATGATTACTCCCTAAGAGTCTGTACACAATGACTGGTCCATGGGCAGCGTGCGTCTGTGTAGGCCAAGGCAAAACCAACATGGAATAAAGTGTTCTTCTCCCACCACAGTTTCATGTTATCTGAGTCTTCCTAGGACATCTCCAGACATGACATATAACTTAACATGGTGTCAGAAGTGAGTAAGCCTGACAAACTTTACAAATTGTTATGCATTACTGACTGAATATCTTTTGATTGGAAGAGCCGAGACGCACGTGGTTCAGTGTCACCTAATTTCGATAGTGGAGAGCATGCGATGTTTTGTGTGACGATATTGAATCTGTGACTAACGGAGTTTCTGTGAATCGGATTATATTGCTAGTCGTGAGTAATATATGGACAAGCGAAACTACTGCTACTACTACTCAATCATGGCTGATGAAAGTGGAAATATTCCTTCACCACAAGTGATACACGCATTCTATGAACATTCCTTTGCCTCCTAAGCTTGATCTGAAGGGCGATTTGACGAGAAATTTCATAAAGTTCAAACGAATGTGGGGAAACTATGAGCTTGCTTCTCGAACAAAGACAGATTCTGATGAATGCAGATCAGCTACACTGTTAACTTGTATTGGTTCTGAGACTCTAGACATATTGGATGGGTTGCAGTTCGACAGTGAAATTGATAGGAGGAAAGTCGAGAAAATATTGGACAAACTAGAAGCTTACTGCATTGGCGAGACCAATGAAACATGGGAACGGTTCAATTTCAACAAACGGAATCAAGAACACTTTGAATCTGTTGATACTTATGTAGAACACTTAGGACTCTCGCTAAAACATGCAATTATGGAACGCTTGAAGATAGTCTCATCAGGGATCGAATGGTGATGGGCATTTGTGATAACTCCACTCGCAAGAGACTGCTGCAGTCTTCGAACCTATCACTGAAAGATTGTATTGACATCTGTAGGTCCCATGAGAGAGCAGCTGCTAGACTAAAATCTCTATCAAACACTGAGGATGTGCAAGCTATCAGTAAAACTAGAGGTTACAAAAAAAACCCAAAGGAAAGGAAACTAAACCTGGATTGACTACCAGAGGTGATCAGTCTCTACAGTGCAAATTTTGTGGACGCAGTCATGTGTTCGGCAGGAAGGAATGTCCAGCATGGGGAAGAATTTGCAACAAATGTAAACGACCAAATCATTTTGCTTATGTGTGCCAGTCGAGTCAAGCCAATGTTCAACTACTGAGTGATGAAGATACTGAGGATGAATATATTTTATCAGTGGATGTTGAAAATGTGAACAGTGTTCAATTACATGGTGAAAGTCAACAGTATTTACGGAAGATTTTTGCTGTCCTCCTCATCAAGGAAACTGAGGTCAAATTTCAGTTAGATTGTGGATCTACTGTCAATGTGTTGCCAGAGACTATCTACGCTAATGTGTTTCAGGATCCCCACCTGGAAAAGTTGGAAACACAGGTCAATACTACTCTTCGAATGTACAATGGAGTGAAATCTCAAACTGTTGGCAAGTGTGAAGTGACTGTCAAAAATCCCAGGAATCAGGGTGAATACACCATTGAATTCTTGATAACGAGGGACAGAGGCTCACCACCAATACTTGGTGCAATAGCTGTTCAACAAATGCAGCTAATCACTGTGAACTTTGAGAACATTTTCCAGATCTCAGGTAGTGGAGAGTGATATGAACTTCAGGTGGGATGAGCAAGTTCATGGCAAGTGTTTGGAAAAAATCAAACATATTCTGTCTGAACCACCTGTACTGAAGTACTTTGACAATGACGCCGAGACAAGCCTTCAGTGTGATGCATCACAAAATGGACTGGGTGTTTGTCTGATCCAAAATGGTCAGCCTGTAGCATATGCATCTCGATCTTTGACCAACACTGAGAAACAATATGCTCAGATAGAGAAAGAAATGTTGGCGATTGTCTTTGGCATGGAACGATTTGAACAGTATGTCTCACGGACGGAAGGTCGCCGTGGAATCGGACCACAAGCCATTGGAGTCAATACTGCATAAAAGTCTGTTGTGTGCTCGGCGTCTCCAACGCATGATGTTACGACTTCAGAAGTACGATTTTGAGGTCATCTACAAGAGGGGATCTCAAATGTTCTTTGCTGACACTCTGAGTAGAGCATATCTTCCACATGTGAAACATACTGAGACTGATGACGGAGATGTGTTTGCTGTTGATGTTCGATGTCAGACAGCGTTTGACGTTGAATCCATCAACATGGTTGAGTATGTGCCAATATCTGAGGAACGAATTGACCAGTTACAAAAAGCAACTGTGGAAGACAAATCAATGACGATACTGAAGGATCTGATTCAGGACGGCTGGCCAACGTCGTCAGATGATGTGCCATGGTGTGCCAGGGTCTTTTTCCCCTTTCGCGATGAGCTCTCTGTTCAAAACGGCATAGTGTTCAAGGGTGAACGTGTTGTTGTGCCAGTCAGTATCCGCCCTGGCATCATGGAAAGAATTCACTACAGTCACTTGGGGATACAAGGTTGTATCAGAAGAGCCAGAGAGTCTGTGTATTGGCCCAATATGGCCGCTGACCTCACAGATTTCATCAGCAAGTGTGATACTTGCAATACGCTGCAACAGGATCAAAGACGAGAGCCATTGGTCAGTCATGAAATACCTAGTCGTCCATGGGAGAAACTAGGGTGTGATCTTTTTGAGTTTGATCAAAAAGATTTTTTGATCACTGTTGACTACTACTCGGACTATTTTGAGGTTGACAGACTGCATGATAAAAGGGCACCTGAAATCATTAAAAAGTTGAAATCCCATTTGGCGAGGCATGGACTTCCCAATCAGATTGTGTCAGACAATGGACCTCCCTTTAATTCTGAAGCTTTCCATACATTTGCAACAGAGTACGAAAGTTTGATCATATCACTTCATCACCCAGGTACCCACAGTCGAATGGGAAAGTGGAGAGTGCTGTGAAGATCGCCAAGAGACTCATGAGTAAGTCTCAGCATGCACAGTCAGACCCTTTCTGGCCCTATTGGACTTAAGAAATGTGCCGACTGACGGTGTAGGCAGCTCGCCAGTTCAAAGGTTGTTTGGGCAGAACGAGAACGAAGCTACCAACGCCAAGTCGATTGCTGCAGCCGAAAACTATTGAAAACGCCCCTGCCGCACTTTCAAGCAAGAGGTCCAAACAAGCTTACTACTACAATCGCGTGCAGCTGAACTTTCAGAACTGAGAGATGGAGATGTAGTTCGGGTGAAGCCATTCAGTCGTGACAAAAGAAATGGAAGAAAGCTGTTGTAGAACAGCAAGTGGATGTACGATCGTGATGACATAACGCATGACAGAAGATGGAAGATCTCTTCGAGAAATAGATGCCATCTAAGAAAATCTCAAGAAGCTGCCCCTGAGACTAAAGATGTCGAACTGGATTTGGAAGAGCAGAGAATGGATGAAAGGTCAATGAAAGAGTTTCAGTCAACTGTGAACTCTCCTGGTAACACTCCTGTGAAAACCCCTGTGAAAACTCCTGTGAAAATTTTGAAAACTCCTGTAGACTTTGATGTGAACACTCCTGTGAACACTCCTAGGATCATGGACAGTTCTGTTCATGGCACAGCACCTGGTCATGAGATCAGAACGAGGAGAGGCAGGGTGGTCAGACCACCACCCCGATACAGGGACTTTGTGCCTTAAAAAGAAAAAAAGGGAGGAAGATATGACATGTGGTCCTGCTTATCAGCAAGGACTTTTAATTTCTCAAGAAAGAGATATAGACTTTAATTTGTTCATTTTAACTTGTTTAGCATTTGTTTAAATTGTTTGCTGGGATAGTGTGTTAATTGCTATCTTTACTTTTCTAAAGAAAGGGAGATGTTGCATAATGATTACTCCCTAAGAGTCTGTACACAATGACTGGTCCATGGGCAGCGTGCGTCTGTGTAGGCCAAGGCAAAACCAACATGGAATAAAGTGTTCGTCTCCCACCACAGTTTCATGTTATCTGAGTCTTCCTAGGACATCTCCAGACATGACATATAACTTAACAACGCGGTCGGGTGATCGAACCCGCGACCTTCCACTCTCCGGGCGGACGCTCTAACCACTACACCACGGAGGCGGTCGTTAAATATATGACAAGTGCTACAGAAAACTATTTAAAAAAAAATACACATCCGTCTCGGTCACTAGTGGTCACCAGCTCCTGTAATAATCTACATCGTCCACAAAAAAAACAGTGTTATTTCTGTACTTATCAACATCATCTAAAACCAAACAACAATATTAATTCATGATCTGTGACATTTATACATTAAGTAGCAAATATTTCTAAAGAAAAATAATAGATTTTCATTAAATGTCAAACACATGAGCTTGAAATTGCATTATTACTACTCACACGGAGAATATAGGTACTTGACAAACCATAAATATCGCTGATCACAGCATACACACAAGCTTATCACAAACACAACCATAACTGCATTCCGTCATGTTAAACTGTCAGGCAACATTCGCAAAAATGTACACAATTTCAACTGTAGCATACAAAGCTAAACCTGAAATACGTAAATCAAAACCTGAAAGC